GGCAGTGGGTGTGGTTCGGGCTTTGCTTCTGTGAAGATTGACAGCCTTGGAGACCCTGTGGGCAGTTCCACTCTGTCCTCTAGGGGCGCTGTGGGTCGGAATGGGCTCCAGGCAGTGAGTGTGGTTTGGGCTTTGCTTCTGGGAAGACTGACAGCCTTGGAGACCCTGTGGGGCAGTTCCACCCTGTCCTCTAGGGGCGCTGTGGGTCGGAATGCACCTGACACCACACAAGTGGTTGCTAGGGGTCCACTCCGCAGCACACAGCGGTGACAACAGGACCTAACTTGCTCTGGAACCTCTGTCCAAACCTTCCACCACCCTGAGCTTCCATTTCCTCACCCTGGCTGGGTTTCCCCACCTGCGGCTATGTAAGTGCCCTTACAGCTGAGTGCTGAAACTCTCCCTCAGACCCGCCCCGGAAGCGTGTGGACTCCCCCATGCTGAGCCGTCATGGGAAGCGGCGGCCAGAGCGGAAGTCCATGGAAGCCCTGAGCATCACCGATGCCGGGGGTGGTGGCTCCCCCGTGCCCACTCGCCGGGCCCTGGAGATGGCCCAGCACAGCCAGAGGTGGGAGCCCCTGCCGCCTCCAGGATCCACAGCCCCAGGTGTAGCGGGAGATCAGGGTTCGGTTCAAGCCCCAGCCCCAGCACACGTGTGCTGCGTGGGTGGGACCGCTCACCTCCCCTGTCTGGGCCTCCTTTCTCATCTGGAAGGCATGTGGAGGGTCTGAACCCTTGGAAACATTCCCACCTAAATGTTTTTTGTTTTTTTCCTAATCAGATCACGTAGCGTCAGTGGCGCGTCCACCGGTCTGTCCTCCAGTCCTCTAAGCAGCCCAAGGGTAAGGGTAAGCCCAAGGGTAATTCCCCAGTTCCCCAGGGGAATTCAGAAGGGGTCAGCCCTCTGCTGCTAACCACGGGGTTGACAGCTTGAACCCACCACAGAGTGCCTCAGAAGGAAGGCCTGGCAACCTACTTCCAAAAAAACAAAATCTGCCGTTGCAAGTGCTGTGTGGTACAGCTGCCTCTGACACAAACATGGGGTCACCACGAATGAATTCTGGGGCAACTGGGTTTTTGAGTGAAGACACTCAAAGATAGAGAAGCCAAAACCACAGTTCTCATAAGACATTGAGACATTGCCTCTGGGCCGAGTCCTCATATTTCAGTCCGTAGGCTACATACAGCACTGCCTGCCGTAGCATTGCATACACCTCTGCCATAGCACTGCGTTTCAGAGCGTCTGAAGGTTCATTTGTTCATGTAACAGTGAGTGACTGCTGTGTACCAGTCACTGCTCAGATCAGGCTCGGGTTACAGCAGAGAGCACTGGAGCCCACGGGGAGGAGGGACATAGTCGGACTGCAAGTCCCGACGTGCCTGACGTGCCTGAGGGCAGCCTCCGTGCACATGTATGGCTGATGCTCCTAGAGGCTTCTGGGAGTTGTAGTCCACTCACCTGCATTCTTCCGCAGAGTCCGGTCTTTTCCTTCTCACCGGAACCCGGCCCTGGAGATGAGGCCCGGGGTGGGGGCTCCCCGACTTCCAAAACGCAGACGCTGCCTTCTCGGGGCCCCAGGGGTGGGGGCGCCGGGGAGCAGCCCCCGCCCCCCAGTGCCCGCTCCACGCCCCTGCCTGGCCCCCCGGGCTCCCCGCGTTCCTCCGGGGGGACCCCGCTGCACTCACCCTTGCACACTCCCCGGGCCAGCCCCACGGGGACCCCAGGGACAACCCCGCCCCCCAGCCCTGGTGGTGGCGTTGGGGGCGCCGCCTGGAGGAGCCGCCTCAACTCCATCCGCAACAGCTTCTTGGGCTCGCCTCGCTTTCACCGGCGCAAGATGCAGGGTAGGGAGGCGCTGGGGGGCTGCTCGCGCCCCGACGGCTGAGGCCTGAAGCAGGGGCTGGGAATGTGGCTTCCGACTGGGAGCCAAGATTCACATGGGGGGGGGGATGTGGTCACTTTCCCATTGGCCAGGGTTCCAGGCCACGCCCTCTGAAGGGCGTGGTCTAGCCAGAGGGTTGGGGGTGTCGCCTCTGGCGGGTGAATAGACACGGGGGTGCGGAGTGCTGGACGCTGGGAGGATGGCCAAGTGTTGACCAGGCTCTCCCCCACCGGCCCCCAGTCCCCACCGCGGAGGAGATGTCCAGTTTGACGCCAGAGTCCTCTCCGGAGTGAGTGCCACGAGCAGGGGAAGAGCGGGGGTAAGGGGGGATCGGGCCCCTCGGCCCCCTCTTAACCCCCATCCAAATTCCCCCTCCCCCCCAGACTGGCAAAACGTTCCTGGTTTGGGAACTTCATCTCCTTGGATAAAGAAGAACAGATATTTCTCGTGCTAAAGGACAAACCTCTGAACAGCATCAAAGCGGACATCGTCCACGCCTTCCTGTCGGTGAGGGACCCGAGTTATTGACGCTACCCCCCCCCAACTACAAATCCCAGCAGCCCCTGGGGGGGGTCCGCCCACCTTCCCACGAGCCTGAGTCCCTCATGGAGTATCATAGAATTTGTAGTTTTCCAGTCAGAATTGGCTTTGGTTGATGTGAGAACAGGGGGTGGGAACCAAAACGCACTGCTATCAAGTCTTTTCTGACACATCGCTGTCCTAGAAGGAGCTCTGGTGGCACAGTGGTTTAAGCATTCACCTGCTAGTCAGAAGGTTGGAGGTTTGAGGCCACTTAGAGGTGCCATGGAAGAAAAACCTGGTGATCCAAAAGACAACAGACATCGCAAGCCCTGTGGGAGTCAATGTGACTGCAGCTGGCTGTGAGCGTTTGTGGAAAGGAGAAGTCTGTTTCATGTGGGCCTGGAGTTTGTGGTTACTTTTGGCATCTCACCATCCCACGCAGGTGGGATTCAGTTGCTCAGCCATTTCTTTGATAGCCTGTGTCCACGAGAGTAGAGACCACAACAGTGGGGCCTCCCCCCAGTGACTGATGGGATTTGTAGTTCCTTGGGTGAAGGGGCAGCGGTCAGGTCACTGGAATCACCCAGTCCTCGTGTCCCCGCCTCCCTCAGATCCCCAGCCTGAGTCACAGCGTGCTGTCACAGACCAGCTTCAGGGCTGAGTACAAGGCCAGTGGTGGCCCCTCCGTCTTCCAGAAGCCCGTCCGCTTCCAGGTGGACGTCAGCTCCTCCGAAGGTCCGGAGCCCTCCCCGCGACGGGACAGCAGCAGCGGCAGTTGCATCTATTCCGTCACCTTCACCCTCATCTCCGGTGAGTCTCCCTGGACTAGGTGTGTCAGCCCAGTGCTGGGACCTGCCATCATTTCCTAGTGCCGCTGTAACAAACACCGAGAGGGAGCGGCTTTAACAGACACGTCTGCATCCTCAGGAAGCTGAGTACGCACTCAGGGCGCCAGCTCTGGGGCAGGCTCTCTCTCTCTGTGGGCTTTGACGGAAGGGCCTTATCTCCCCTCAACTTCTGTTCCGAGGTTCTCTGACGATCGTGGGGCCGGTATCTTCCCCTCCATTCGTGTTGCTTGCATGATCTGCTCTTTTCTATCTTAAGAAGTTGATTTAAGACACACCCTGCACCAACACTGCCTGGTTACTGTAAGAAAGGAAACCCGCCTCCACGTGGAGGCACAACCATAGTGTTGGGGTAGAAGTAACAGCACAGATTTCTGGGGTATACGAGTCAGTCCATGACACCTTACCAAACGCTGCTTAAGAATTTCTATCCCTTCTCTCCACGCCCAACACATAATGGGTGTCTACAACTTCCCAAGTGCTTTATGTGGTTAATTTCATTTAATCACCCATTTAAAGAATGGGAAACCGAGTCCTAGAGAGGAAAAGTGGTTTGGCCAGAGTCACACTGTAGATAGGGACAGAGCAGGGTCTCAGTCTGTCCTTCTGAATCTCAGCTTAGAGGTCTTTCTACTCTTTTCAGATCAACAGGGGAAAGACATGGTACATGGCTATAAAATCCCATTCTGGCACCCAGAGCAGACATCACCAATCGATTGCAGCACTATTTTCCTGCTGAGCTCGGTGATAGCGTCAGACACTTTAACTCTAGGCCGACATGGCCAGTCAAGAGTTGGCACAGGCGATGAAAACCACAGAAACGCCTTGCTTCCAATTCTCCCTAGTTCTTGATGCAGAGTTTGTATAACGAGGCATGCCCGTTTGGTGTCCTTGCCACTCATCTTACTGTCACAGTGGGGAGACACACTTGCCCCAGGTTCCTAAACCAGATTGGTGTGGACCTTAGTGGGTTCCATCCAGGGTTTCAAAGGGTTCGGTCTGGTTCAACTCCCTTCTGAGAATCAGCATTTCCACCCCAGAGAGAGGGTATCAGTTTAACAATCTTTCCAGGTGATGCACTTGCGCATGAGAATCCCTTAGTGTCACGGTGAAAGAATCCTCTGGAGATGTTGTTAAAATGTAGATTCTGAGTAAATGCTGAGTCTCAGCAGGGGGTAAACCAGAACAAACCAGTTCTAAGCCCTGGTTCCATCACCAGGATGAATTATGTCTTTTCTTTTTCCCTCCCTTTTAAAGGAGCTCTGGTGGTACAGTGGTTAAGGCATGTGGCTGATCACCAAAAGGTCAGGGGTTTCAGCCTACCAGCTGCTATGCAGGAGAAATATGTAGCAATCTGCTTCTATGAAGATTGAAGTCTGGGAAACCCTGTGGGCAGTTCCACTCTGTCCCCTAGGGGCACTGTGGGTCGGAATGGACTCCACGGCAGTGGGTTTTTTACTCCAGTGTGACTTCACGTTAATGAACTGTATCTGCAAAGACCCTCTTTCCAGAGAAAAAAAGGTCACATTCACAGGTATTGGAGTAGAACGTCATCATACCACGTAGGACACATTACCAGCACAGGATAACCCAGTGCCCTGGAGTCCATTCTGACCCACAGCGCCCCTAGAGGACAGAGTGGAACTGCCCACAGGGTCTCCAAGGCTGTCAATCTTCACAGAAGCAAAGCCCAAACCAC